ATGAAATATATCAAAAAATCGTTTACTTGAAAAGAATGCTTTCAACACGACTGTTACACTAAAGGTAGCAACACTCAAGGACACTATGATGAACACCTGCATGCAGTATAAGCAATGGACAGCCAAGGGACAATCAACGATGTTAAACTTCAATCAAAACAGCCCAAAGTCAAGTGTTCATATATAATCTACAAGAGTAATTTTAATACCAATACGCTCTACGTGTAGYTTAAAATAATTTTAAAAATTGGATGATATGGCAACAGTGGCATCATTTTGGGAGGGACGGGGTGGACATTTGCTCCCTTAACATTAGCGGACCGCTGTAGGGCCAGATATGGGCTACAARCCCGCTATAAATTAACATTTAAAATTTTCTCATTAGCTTTATTAATAGATTTAAATCAAGCTGTTGACATGTTTGGTGCTATGAAGACTAGAAGATACTCAGTTAATCCCTAGCATCTAACATTCTAAGTATCTAAGTAATACTTTAAAAACATACATTAATATTTAATATTCAATAATTTATTGTATGTTTTGTTTTATTTTTTTAAATATACTTATACTCAAACTTGGCGTAAATAGGACATAAATTGTGATAAAATTCTTCTCAAAATAAGTCATCATATAATAGTTAAAATCAATGGTAATAGGTAATATTGGGTACGCCTCTACAATCTACATAGTAAATTGTATTGTATATGTATAATAATATGTATTTTTTAGTAATTGTTATCCCCCCCCCAAAGTGAGTTATTTATACTTTATCACAGATAATTGTGATAGTAACAAGTATGCATAAAGATAGTATATGTACAATGACTTTTTTTTAAATGCTGTATTACTTAATGTGTGAAGTAAATTATTAAACAAACGTGTAACCAATACGGAAATACTACATATGTAAGCTGATTGAATAAAGTAATAATAACGGATTTAAGCTGTGAAAAATTCATTCTTTAAGAAACTTTAAAAACATCTTGGTAAGATTTTGAAATGTTTAACTTACCAAATAAGTGATTTTGTACGAATTATGATTTATAAGTAGAATTCTTAATGTAGTCTATTGTCTAATTAAACTAGTAAAATTTGAATTTTCAAGTGTTATTGAATTACCGTATAATTATAAGAAGGCAATTCTTCATAAATTGGTAATTCTGTTGTYCTAATGCCAGAATACAAATTAATATCATTATGTGATATTTCTTCTACATTAATAATGTACATTTTCAATAGACCATTAAATATCCATGGAATATCCCATTGGAGAGTCATAAAAGTATTTCCAATGTCAATAATTTTTAAATTATTTGGAGAGTCTGGCACTAAACAGAACATTTAATAAGTACAAGATAACAAAATATTTAAAAAAATTGTGGTTAGATTTGTTTAAACATTGAMCATTCGTCTGACTTACATTCATCGTTTAAGTTAAATGAAATAGACGACTCRTGACCACCTTCGGGATAATCGAATGACTTTGGTTTTATCTAATACAAAATAAGATTTCATAGATCATATAATAACCAATTGATGTAATTAGGTACATAGTTGAATATTTTATATTTTTATATCATCTAACAATACGTACTTTAAACGTGAAGTTGTTTATAGGACTTAAATCATTATAAGTATGGCAATAGTATTCTGGCCATGCGGAACATTTCGTTGGGGCAATCACAGAAATATTTTCTGCGTTTCCAAAAGCGTCTTCATTAATTGAAACTATAAATCCATCTATATTTGCATCTTCTAAATAATACCAACGAAGCCCTACTAACTGATATTTAAGACTTTTTTTATAAACTACTAAGTCATTAACTGGTGCTAAATCTGCAAGTGTATAAA